ATAAGCACCTTTATCTGCTGAGCCACCTTGCTGAATGGTGGTAGAAGGTAAGGAGTTGGCATGAAGAAATGGAGAGATGGAAAGAAATGCAGAAATTATTACCCTTTGCACCAGATAGTGCCCAGCCTTGTTCCTCACTGACACGCAAATATTAGATTAACTGGCAAAGTAGTCTCCCAAAACACAGTGTAGGTTACTAATATGCCAGCGCTACCCTAAACAAAAATTATGAGAAATTAAATAAAGAGATAGCTGGACTACAGATACCAGGAACAGGAATAACTATTTTAAGCCAAAACTGAGAGACTTCTCAGGGGCAGGATATGAAAATAGTAGCTACAGCCGGGCGGTGGTGGCGCACGCCTTTAATCCCAGCACTCGGGAGGCAGAGGCAGGCGGATCTCTGTGAGTTCGAGACCAGCCTGGTCTACAGAGCTAGTGCCAGGACAGGCTCCAAAGCCACATAGAAACCCTGTCTCGAAAAACCAAAAAAAAAAAAAAAGAAAAAAGAAAATAGTAGCTACAGGGCAAATCTCAAACAACTTTTTCTAGAGCAAGAATCTTGCCCCAGGCAAAAAGAACTGGCTAGGGTAATAAAGTATTTTTCAATCACAAAAGGACAAAACTACACTAGATAAAAAGTAGAACAAAATCTAAAGCCAAAATTAGCAACCTTCCAGCAAAATAGTTACTCTTCTCAGTAAATACCTGCACTTGTATATATACATGATATGTAGCACATCAGCAACAAAACATCTCTATACAATCATTTGCATTTCAGAGCAAAAAAGATGCATGTACATTGAATAAACTTCCCCTCATCACTAGCCTTCTCCCTACACCCCAAAAGTAAATCAAAGCAAATCTTATGAAGCCGAGACATTTCTAAAATTAGAATATCTTCTACAAATTCATTCTGCTAATAACAAAACATAAACTTGGAAATAAAAATTTATCTATCCAAGCTCATCCAATCAGAAATAAGATGTAGCTATTTGACTAGAAAAGTCAAATGGTGTAGGAGGTTCTTCTGTTCATGTGTTGCTTTCATTGGTTAATGAATAAAGAAACTGCTTTGGGCCTGATAGGGTAGAATTTAGGTAGGCAGGGAAGACAGAACTGAATGCTGGGAAGAAGAGCAGAGTGAGGGTCGTCATGGATCTTCTGCCTGAGACAGATGCTGGTTAGAGTCTTGCCGGTGGGCCACAGTCATGTGGTGATCAACAGATTGGTAGAGATGGGTTAAATTGGGATGTGGGAGTTAGCCAGTGGAAGGCTAGGGCTGGTGGGACAAGTGATGTTTTAATGAATACAATTTCTGTGGTTGTTTTGGGGCTGAGCTGGCCGGGCGGCCGGGACAAACAGGGGCCTGCTTCCATACAACAAAGTCAGGCTTGGGTCAGTTGACAACAGTCCTCCAACTATTATTAAACTAAATTAAGAAGGATCCCAAAGATTTTACTTTGTAACATAATACAAAGGACTGTTGTAACATTGAACAGAGTGGCAAATGCCTAACTATCCTATGCCTTGTGAGGATGCGATAGGAGTATCATGTTGGAGACCAACCTGGACTGCACAGTAGTTTTGAAGCTAGCATGGGCTACACAGCCATACTATGTCTCAAAAAAATATTACCTCACATGCCTAGATCCGTTCAGAAGTAATTCTTTTCTTTTGTCTTGCTTATTATGACAGATTCTTACCATGATGCATAGGTCTGCCTAGAACTCATCCTCCTGTTTCAGCCTTGAAGTGACTGGGATTACAGACAAATCTGCACCACCACACCAAGATAGAAATACTTTTATGTATGTACTACACATACTTATCTAAAGAGAGTGACAATATATAACTGGCAATTCCATGACCAACTACATCAAAGGCTGCCAAATCTAGTCTGATCAAAATCAAGGTTTAAATTGGTGTGGTAAAGAATGCCTATAATTAGCCAGTGGAGGCGCCCGCCCGCCTTTAACACTGTCTCAAAAACAAACTTTAGCATATGTGCCACTAAAGGAAATGGACTGGGAAGGAACAAGCATAGGACCAAACTAGTCCCTCTGAATGTGGTTGATAGTTGTATGGCTGGGGCAGACTGTAGGGCCACTGACAGTGGCACTGGGGTTTATCTCTCTCTACTGAATGTACTGGCTTTTTTTGGATCCTATTCTTTTTGGATATATACCTTGCTCAGCCTAGGTATACACAAAGCAAAGTGCCTTACCCTCTCTTAGGATTAGATGGGGGTGGGTTGGGAAGGTATGTGGAGGGAATGGGAGGAGGGGAAGGAGTGGGAATTTGGATTGGTATTTAAAAAAAAAATTCTAATAAACTTTTTTTAAAAAGCCAGAGTTGGGCGATGGTTGCGCACGCCTTTAATCCCAGCACTCGGGAGGCAGAGGCAGGCGGATCTCTGTGAGTTTGAGACCAGCCTGGTCTACACAGCTAGTTACAGGACAGGTTCCAAAGCCACAGAGAAACCCTGTCTCGAAAAACCAAAAAAAAAAAAAAATAAATAAAATAAAATAAAATAAAAAAAAAGCCAGAAGGCAGTGGCACATACCTTTAATCCCAGCATTTGGGAGGCAGAGGAAGGCAGATCTCTGTCATTTTGAGGCCAGCCTGGTCTACAGAGTGAGTTGCAGGACAGCCAGAACTGTTACACAGAGAAACCCTGTCTCAAAAAAAAAAGGATGCCTATAATCAAAGCAGCCATTTGAATACATAAGACCACTGGCTGTAAAACCAAAGTCACAATTTTTTTTTTGCAGTGATAGGGATTGAACCCCCAGAGCTCCTTCACTCACGCCACACAAGGGCTTTACCATTGGTCTATCTTTTACTGCCCTCTTTACACTTTTTCATTTTGAGACAGGGTCTCACTCAGCTGCAGAGCTTGGCTCTAAATTCACTCCGAAGCCCTGCCTAGCCTTGAACTTGTGATCTTCCAACCTTAGTTTCCCCAAGAGATAGGATTACAGGCCTGTGTGCACAGGCCTAATCCCTGTCTTTCTTTTGACCCCAAACCGAAACATAACCAAGTAACTGGTATCTTAACGATTGCAAATCCTTCTGAAGTTTGCAAGTCGGTGCACATGCTCGCACGCGCGCACGCTCTCTCTCTCCCTCCCTCTCTCTCTCTCCCTCCCTCTCTCTCTCTCTCTCTCTCTCTCTCTCACACACACACACACACACACACACACACACACACAGAGGCCTGGCTTAATGTTTTCCATATTGTTGAAATACAGTATTTGCCCAACTAAACATATTTAAAATACTGGGTTACTATCCAATTCCTAGATAATGATCACCTTAGCAGTCTCTAATGTCTTTCTACGACATCAACTAACATCTCTCAAATCAGAAAACTTCCACTTTTAAGACTAGCCAATGTGGTGGCACACATCTTTAATCCCAGCACTTGGAAGGCAAAACAAGCACATCTAAGTTTGAAACCAGCCTGTTCTACATAACATGTTCCAAGCCAGCCAGGGTTACACGGTGAGACCTTGTCTTAATAAGGGAAGCTGGGGATAGAGAGATGGGTCATTGGTTAAAAGCATCATATATTGCTCTTCCATAAGATCTGAATTCAAATCTCAGCACCCATACCAGGTAGCTCACAGTCACTTATAAGTCCAGTTCCAGGGAGATCTAACACCTCTGGCCTAAACAGGCATCACAATCATGAGCACATACCCACTCTCTCACACACAAATCCACACTATTAAAAGTAATAATATAAATAAATAAGTACAAAACCAAAAGTTAGGTCTTGTGACGCACAGCTGCCACCTCCTTCTGCCACTGCAGCTTTTGTGTAATTGCAGTGTGGGCCTCGGCCTCTTTTGTGAGGCAGTTTTCGCCACGGCAGGTGAGAAGAATCAAAGCAGTCAAGACTGAGTACACAATCATATTAATCTAAAGCTGCTCTGGCGTAGGCTGGTTCTGTGGCACAGCGAGAGATTAAGAGGCTTCCATCCCTTTGGCAAACTAAGGAAAGCCGATTATGAACAACGGGGTTTGTTAATGAGGCAGATCAGTTTCTGATCTGATGGACAATCCACCAATGAAACAGACACACCTGCACAGCTAGAAATGGAGGCCAAACAGAATTGATGCATTCCAACAACAGCCAGGTGCTGTCTACTATAAAGGGGCCTTCTGCTTTACTCTATAATTTTGTCAGACCAAGAATATATTCTCCAATCAAAAGCCAAACTTTGGTCCCACCACATTGTGACAGCATGGTTTTCTCTATGCTTTCATTCCCCTTCCCCAGTCCTTTATTGCACGTAAAGTAACGGTGTATATACACAAGCATGTTGTGCTTTTCTTTTCAAACTAAACTGCCAATGCTGTTTCGGCTGCCGTCAAATGGAGATGGTCTGGGGGAAGGTATTGGTCCTGGCCCCCTTTCTCCATTAGTGGCATGCTCAATTCAGCTCTTTATATTCCAGGAAGTGACTTTGCTTTCCTTTTAACAAATGAAACAAACAACATGAAATTCCTTGCATACCTTGCTTGATAAGAGAAGTTTAAAGCTTTTCTTTATTGTTGTAAAACCAAGGATAGATTTCTAACTCTTTTGTATGTACTGTTACAAGGATGGCAATCTGTGTTTTAGTAGTGGTAAATTACTCTTAAAAAAAATCCTAGACAGTTTTCCCCTCAGGCCAAGCAATAACAGCCAGGGATGTAATTCAGTGGTAGAGTGGTTGCTTAGCATACAAAAGGCCCTGGGCTGGGTCCCCAAGACTGGGTGGAGGGTATAACATTATCAGCTGCTGCCTATTCTAATCATCAGTTGCCATAAGGATTAGAATGGTATCAATCCTCTCAATACCAAGATCTCAACACCAATAAGTTTATTAGTTGACCAAAATTTTCCATGATGTCAAAAACATGAAACAACTCTGTGATTTAAAATAAAACAGCTGTGTGCACACCTCTAATCCCAGCACTCGGGAGACAGAGGCAGGCGGAGTTCTGGGAGTTCCAGGACAGTCAGGGCCAATACAGAGAAACTGTAAAAAAAAAAGTTTAGGAAGTGAGGAAACTGTAATTCCAACTAGAGAGCTTGGGACAGCCTGGGCTACACAGTTTGTAAAACAAAAAACATTTTAAAAAAATCTGGCCAGCACTTGGGAGGGACCTCTGAGTTTGAGGCCAGCCTGGTCTAAAGTTCCAGGCCAGCCAGAGATAGAGCCTGTCTTAAAAAAAAAAATGTGCCGGGCGGTGATGGCGCATGCCTTTAATCCCAGCACTTGGGAGGCAGAGGCAGGTGGATCTTTGTGAGTTCGAGACCAGCCTGGTCTACAAGAGCTAGTTCCAGGACAGGATCCAAAACCACAGAGAAACCCTGTCTCGGAAAAAAAAAAAAAAGGAATGCCGGGCGATGGTGGCGCACACCTTTTAATCCCAGCACTCGGGAGGCAGAGGCAGGCGGATCTCTGTGAGTTCGAGGCCAGCCTGGTCTACAAGAGTGAGCTCCAGGACAGGCTCCAAAACCACAGTGAAACCCTGTCTCGAAAAACCAAAAAAAAAAAATGTAAAGCTCTTAAAAGCTGAGCCATTGATTATTCAGTATATGACTTAGCCAGGTCATCAGTTTAATTTTCCTTCCTCTGGCTCTTGCCTACTGGGCATTTTTCTACCACAGGTCCCTAAAACATTTGTTGGTTTTTTTTTTTAAAAAAATACAAGTAAAACAATAAAACTAAGCTCTTCTCCTAAGAAAGTTCTGATGAAGAAAAACAACTGGAATTACTACGCAAAAATCAAATTAATGATAAAAGTATAGCTGTCCATATTATATCTGTTTCACATTAAAAGATAATGAAGCCAGGAAGGGTGGAGCAATGGAGAAACTGGAATGGAGATTGACTGATTTGGAACTGTGGGCTTGGTTCTCAAGCACTGTCTGTCTGTTTCTTTTGTAACTGTGATTGTTATGACTAGGGAAATTAGTGACACTTCAGCCTGAGACAATTCTTAGTACCCCAAGGAATTCTTCCACAGCAATAACCAGGGAAGTACAGCTTTACTGACACTCTACCATTTAGGCATATGGTTTGCCTTGGTTGGGGAGGGGGCTTTTTTCCCTTCTTCCTTTTTTAAAGACAGGATTTCTCTGTGTAACTGATTCTCCTAGAACTCACTCTGTAGACCACGGTGGCCTTGAACTCAGAGATCCACCTGCCTCTGCCTCCTGAGTGCTGGGATTAAAGGAACGTGCCACCACCAGCTGGGCACAAACAATTTTAAATTAAAGTAATTCAATCCCTGAAGTCAGGAGTGGTGGCTCATACCTGTAATTCCAAAACTTGGGAGGCTGAAGCAGGAGACTGGTCTATGCAGAGGCCAGCATAGACTACCAACCGAATTCAAGGCTATCACGGACCACATACTGAGACCTGTCTTAACCAAAAAGAAAAGAACAGAATACAAGCTGAGTTAAGGCTGGCTAGAGCCCGATGGTGGCGGCAGGCGCTTTTAAACCCAGCACTCAGGAGGTAGAGGCAGCTGGATCTCTGTGAGTTTGAGGTCAGCGTGGTCTACAAGAGCTAGTTCCAGGACAGCCAGGACTGTTTCACTGAGAAACCCTGTCTCAAACACCCCGCCCCCAAAAAAGACTGGGTAGAATTCAGGCTCCACTAATTACAAGTTGTCAAACTTCAATCAAGTTCTGTTTCTATTTCCTCACCAGCAAAATGGGGAAGATGAAGTAGTATTCTGAAAATTAATCCCAACTATACATGCTGGGCCTTGCATACTTCAGCACTTTAGAGCTCCTGGAGAAAGCCAAGTTTGGTTCTGGGCACCAGTTGTCAGGTGCTTCACATTGCCTGGAACGCCAGCTTCAAGGGACCCAACACCCTCTTTTCTGGCTTTGTGCTTGAGGAAGAATGGCCCACATAAGCTCATACATTTGAATGTTTAGTCATCAGGAAGTGACACTATTTGAGGAGCAGGAGGTGTAGCCTTGCTGGAGATTTGAAAAGCACATGCCAGGCCCAGTGTCTGTATGTCTGCTTGCCCAGCCCTCCCTTCCTCTCCCTCTCTGCTACTGCTCCAGCATCAGTAGTGCTGACAATGATCCCACCATGATAATGGACTAACCTTCTGAAACTGTAAACAAGCCCCCAAAAAAGAGTTGCTGTGGCCCTGGTGTCTCTTCACAGCAATAGAACAGTGTTAGCACTGGCCACTCTTCCAGATGCCCCAGATTCAATTCCTAGCACCCACACGGCAGATTACAACTGTCTGTAACTCCAGTTCCATGGGATCTGACAACCCCCCACCCCAAGATATACATATAAGCAAAATATCAATTCACGTGAAATAAAAATAATTTTTTTAGAAAAATAAGTTAGTACCAGGTACTGAAGTTTTGTTATAACAATCCTGACCATGCTGTTGGAGGAATATGGAAGACTTTGGACTAAAAAATCAGACACTTTAAGAAGGGCTTAATGGGCCATTCTGAGCTTGGAAGACGATGCAGAGATTTGAACTGTGAGGGCCCAGCTCAAGAAGTTTCAGATGACAGGCTGGAAAGATGGCTCAGTGGTTAAGAGTACTGCCTGCTCTTCCAAAGGTTCTGAGTTCAATTCCCAGCAACCACATGGTAGCCCAAACCATATGTAATGAGATCTGATGTCCTCTTCGGGCCTGCAGACATGCATGCAGGCAGAAGACTGTATACTTAATTTTTTTTAAAAAAAAGTTTCAGATGGGAAAAATAGGCCCTCAAGAAGTTTCAGATGGGAAAAACATTAGTAAGTGGCCTAGAGACCATTCTTGTGAAATTGACAATGTGGGTACTTTTTGCCCTTGTCCTAAAAATCCGCCTGAAGCTAAACTGAAGAGTTTTAGATTAATGCCATTAGCAGAGGGTTTCAAGACAGCTAATATTGACCATATGACCTAGAGTGGCTATTAGTCTTCACTCTTATGCAGATCTATGACGATAAGGAACAAGCTAGACAAGGGGAGACACAAAATGTACAGTTTGAGGAGAAAAGGGGCACCAGGAAAAAGTTCAAAGAAAAGCCTGATGCTAAGTGGAATAAAGGGAGTGGGAACCTCAAAGCAAGACCCCACTCAGGTAAGCTAACTTGTGAAAAGGAATTCAAGAGAAATTTAGGCAGTGAAGGAAACCATCAGCAACAGAAAGCTGATGAAGATGTAACTGAATGAGGGGGCCATGTTCCAGCCCCAGCAAGCGGCAGAACTTGATAGCTTTGACCACAAGGTTCAGGCTTTGGAGTCAGGGATACAGGAAAGAGGCTACGGCATCTCCCTGCACAGAGGCCTAAAGAAGCCATTGTGTGAACTGTGAAGGTGAAGCCTGGATTACCTTGGAGAGCCTGAGCCTTGGAACACCTGCTGAGGACAGCTGCTAACAGAGCAGAACCAGCCCAAGGGAAGTGTGCTGTAGACAATAAAGCTACAAGGAGTTGGAGACTGGAAGAATGCTACTCACCACGATGATAATAAACTAAACCTCTAAAGCTGTAAGCAATTTCCTAATCAAACATTTAAATCAGAGTTGCCATGGTCATGATGTCTCTTCACAGTAATAGAACAGTGACTAAGACAGGCCTCTTCCAGCACCGGCACACATGTATATGTAACACATAAATAAGATACACCTTTAAAATAAAAAATACACTGTTGCCTGCCAAGATGGCTCAGTGAGTAAAGGTGTCTACTGCAAGGCTGAGGACCTGAGCTCTATCCCCTGAACCCACATGGAAGGGGAGAACACACTCTGACCCCTGTAGGTCTCACATATAAACACACTAAATAAATGTAACTTTAAAATGTGTTAATTATGCAAAGACAACAAGTACTCAATTTTTAGTTATGATTACTGTCAACACCAGGATCAAAAAAAAAAACCCTCAAGACCAGTAAAAAAATAAAGAAAACCCCAGCATTAAAGCAGTAGGCATAATTTCTTCATCCTAAAGAAAGAGGAGTTTCCTGAGGTGGTTGTGTCAAATACTGTGTAGAAGTCTCAGACACTGGAAAAACTGAAACAGGAAGATCTACTGGGCCTAGGAATTAAAGAGCCAACCTGGTCAACACGGTAACATTGTTTCAAACTATACTGCACTAAAACTGGGGTGCAGCTCAGCAGGGGAGCAGTAGGTTAGCAATTCACAGGACCGCAAAGAGAAAGGCTAGGCTGATAGAACAGGTGGTAGCATTCTTACTTAGCATGCACAAAAGTCCTGGGTTCAATCCTCCAGTCCAGCAAACCCCAGCACGGTGACATGTAATGCCAGCTTTGGTAAGTTTATGATCTTCCTTCACTACACTGTTCGAGTTTAGTTTACATGAGATCCTGTCTCAAATAAATAAAAATTAAAGAAAAGAAAAAAAGAGAAAATCCAAGGAAGACCTATTTTTTTTAATTTGATATAGTCTTAGGATATTGACCAGGCTGGATTTGAACTTGTGAGATCCAAGATTGTTCTGCCTCAGCCTCTTGATGGCAGAGGCTACAGGCAACACCTGTGTTTTCTGTTCAGGAATTTTCAGTTTTGAATCAGGCTGGCTTCAAATGCAGCTTCACCCTCCACAAAGGCACAACTGCGGTTTTAAATATAACTAAGAAACTAAATAAAATGTAGCAATCATACAGAACTGAATGCCTAATAATAACCTGCCAATACTTCCTAATACCCCATAAAGATTTGTCTTACTTGAGTCAATTAACACAAATTCAGAAAACAAGGCAAAGATCTTTACACAACTAAGAGCCTGTATTTTAGAACCAACGTATATTTTCCCTAAGTAAAAAGAGCATCTATGCGCTGCTTGCGGAAAATAGGCTGATAGGCTCGTTCTCAAATTCTACAATCTAAACTGCTCTAAACACATGCTGTCCTAGTAGTAATTCAAAGGCACATTTTGCCAACTATAAATGCAATTATGATCCATGCTACCTGTAATTTTATTTTGCCACTGGGTACCAAGCACGCATCTCATCTGAGCAGAAAAAAAAAAGCAACCTAATTCACTCTTAGGATGAAAAGTCAAATATCGAACTGCCCACAGAAAAAGGTAACTGCATAAAAGCAGTATACATTTCAGATTAACTACTCAAAACAGTCAAGAAGCAAACTGGAAACGCGTGAAAAACAGCCTCGGTCTAATTAAAACGTTTGATTAGTAAGATACGGCCTGCCGGGCACAGCTACCTCTGCAATAAATCTTACTTCTGGTGAATCCCCGTTAACTGGCTGCTCATCTCTCGTGGAACAAATAAATAAAAACATGACCTAACAACTTCCCGAAATATGCCCCAAACGCGGGGAAAACAACTGATGTCCCACTAAAAAACCGGACTTTGCCAAAAAGTAGTATGCCAGGCTTCTCAGAAAGCAAAAAGCATTAGCCTGCCCCCCTCCCCCGCCACCAGCCATTGGAAAAAAAAATCCCAGGATACCCTCCAGGATTTGGGGTGGGTGAGAAAGAAGATAATACCTTTGGGGCCAGCGTCCTTGCCCTCCAACCTCAAAAGCTCTGCCACCTCAACTGCGAGGAGCCGAGAATTTCCCGGGGCGACTGCCCTTAGAGCGAGCTCGTCCCAGGATCTCACTTCCTCCCCCCGCCCTTCCTCCGCCCCTCCCCCTACCCTCCCCCTCCCCTTCCGCCCACCCGGCACAGTCGCTAGGCCCAAAGATTAGGAAGAATGGCCACAAGCGCCCAGCGCCCGCGACTCCCCGGCCACCACACTGCAGCCACTGAGGCAGGAGCCGAGCAGAGGCTCCCGACTCGGCGCCGGCGGGAGGCGGAGAAGTCGCGGCGCCACGAAGGCCGCCCCCGACACACACCCCTAGCCCCAATTGGGGCTCCCCACCACACTCCCCGAGCCCCGCTCACCTAGAGGGAAAACGATGCCGCTGACCGCGAAGCCGCGCGCGGGCCTAGGGCGCCTAGCGCACGTCTTTGCAAACAACCCACTCGAGTGGAAGGCTCCCGGGAGCAGAACGCCGGGGCCCGTGACAAGGGCTTGCGTTTTACCTCATGGGCTCAGCGGTCATGTTTTTGGCTCGGACGCCTGCTTGGCTTCGGCTACCCTTGGGTACCGATCCTCGTTCCCCAGCACCCGATCCCGAACGCAAAGTACTGGAAGCTTAGTAGTCACCGCAGCTGCTGCTGGATCTTCCCCACAGCTCAAAGGCCGTTGCCGCTGCCGCCGCAGGAGCCGCGGAAACAGCGACGCCGCCGCCGACGCCATTTTGTTGGGCCGAGGCTCAGGCGGTAGAATTGGAGCGTCTTCCCTCTTCCGCTTTCCGTCATCTATTGGCTACCTCTGCCAGAGCGCAGTGTCTTATTGGCTACGGAAATTCACCTTCTTTGGGGGCCTGTTGCTAAGGCGGTCGACGTCATTAGATTCCGTCCACCTTTTCATAGAGGGTCCAGTTCATTCCTAGCTGACCTCAAAGTACCAGGGATATATCTTTATCCTAAAAACACTCTGTTGGTCCATCCTCTTTACCTCCATCTAATTGACGAAACAGTGACACCCCATTTATGTTTATTGAGAATTTACTATAGGTCGACCCCTTCTGCAGATGCTTTATCTGAATTATCTCATGCAATGCTTGCACCCTCTAAAGTAGACAGACCTAACATTTTCTGTGTAAGGAAACCAAAGCACAAATTCTTCATTCAACCAAACACTCATCCCGGGAGAAAAAAAAAAAGACATGCCCTTGTGCTCTTTTGAACCCAAGGCTTTGTGCATGCTAAGGAAACATTGTATCAATAAGCTACATGCGCAACCCCATTAACCTCTATAAAGCATCCAAAATATAAATGTTTTCTTTCCTTGATCTTGTAATGCCCTCGTTTTCTCTCCTACATGTTTTATGCATAATATTACCTTGCCGGCGTGATTGCGCCTATGTGCATTTTTACATTTGGGGGGAAGAGAGTGAGAAAGGTTCTCACTATGCTGTCCTGGCTAGGCTGCAACTCACTGTATAGATGAGGCTGGCTTCAAACTTGCAATGACCTTGCCTCCCAAGTGCTTAGAAGACAGATGTGCCCCACCACACTTATGGATACTTAAAGATACTTACATGTATATGTTCAGCCAGACATTGGCATGCAATTCTTTAAAAAAAAAAAAGCCGGGTGGTGGTGGCGCACGCCTTTAATCCCAGCACTCGGGAGGCAGAGGCAGGCGGGTCTCTGTGAGCTCGAGACCAGCCTGGTCTACAAGAGCTAGTTCCAGGACAGGCTCCAAAGCTACAGAGAAACCCTGTCTCGAAAAACTAAAAAAAAAAAAAAAAAAGAAGAAGAAGAAAAAACCCACCCCACTACTTGGGAATGTGGGTATTATATTCTTTTGGTTTTAAAGATTTATTTAATTATTATGTATACAGTGTTCTGCCTGCATGTATGCCTGCAGGCCAAAGAAGACACCAGATCTCACTACAGATGGTTGTTGAGCCATCATGTGGTTGCTGGGAATTGAACTTGGAACCTCTGGAAGAGCAGCCTATGCTCTTAACCCCTGAGCCATCTCTCCAGCTCTGGCATGCAATTCTTTTCATATTGAACAAACTTGAAACTGTTACACAGAGATCAGCCATTACTTCAATCTGATGAAGGTATATCTTATAAGCCAACCTATCTACATCCTTTTTCTCCTCATTTCACTCTTCATTCATAATCTCTGCAAATCACAAATAGTCTATTATTTTAATCTGAATTATTTTTTCATTTGTTTCTTTTCGTTTTTGCTTTTTGTTTTGGTTGGTTGGTTGCTTTGGGTTTGGTTTTTGGGGTTTGGTTGGTTTTTTTTTTTGAGACAGGGTTTCTGTGTGTTTTTGACTGTCCTGGAACTAGCTCTGTAGACCAGGCCGGCCATGAACTCACAGAGATCAACCTGCCTCTGCCTCCTGAGTGCTGAGTTTAAAGGCATGCACCACCACAGTCTGGCTCAGAATTTTTTTAATGTAAAATAACTATGTTTATGAATCATAAGAAAGATAATTTCTTTACTATTAAAGAGTAACTGGCAAATTTTATTGAAATACTTGTAATATAATCACATTCGGTCATGATAATCTATAGTTTTCCAACCACATATTTTAAGGAAAAAATTATCAGTATATAACCCCTTGATAACATTCTTCAATTAGTCACAGAAAGCAGCACACAAATCTCCTTGGATGTTTATCCATAAATGTGGAACTTGTCAATTTTTGTTTGTTTTGAGGGAAAAAGAAAGTAAATTGCCTATAAGACAGAAAATCAAATAAACAAATAGTTATTCGTAGTTTTTAATAAGCACCTTCACAAAACCCAATCCATGTAAAAATAGTTTTTTATTTAACTTCTAGAAAGTATCCAGAAGACAGTCTGTCTTACTCACTATTCTAATTGCTGTGAAGAGACACCATGACCAAGGCAACTATTTTAACAGAAAGCTTTTTTTTTTTTTGGTTTTTCGAGACAGGGTTTCTCTGTGGTTTTGGAGCCTGTCTTGGAACTAGCTCTTGTAGATCAGGCTGGTCTCGAACTCACAGAGATCCGCCTGCCTCTGCCTCCCGAGTGCTGGGATTAAAGGAGTGCGCCACCACCGCCTGGCCAACAGAAAGCTTTTAATTGGGGGCTGGCTTACAGTTTCAGATGTTCAGTCCATTATTGTGGCAGGAGCATGGCAGCATGCAGGCAGACACTGGAAAAGTCGCTGAGAACTACATCCTGATCTGATCTGGAAAGAGAGAGAGAGAGAGAGAGAGAGAGAGAGAGAGAGAAAACACTTTTCCTGGCTTGGGCTTTTGAAACCCCAAAGTCCAGAAACATAGTCACACCTTCTCCAACAAGACCATACCTCCTAATTTTTGTAATAATTTCAAGTGATACCACTCCCTGGTGACTAAACATTCAAATGTATGTGTCTATGGGGTCATTTTTATTCAAAATACCACATTCCACTCCTGGCCCCCATAGGCTTCTAGCAAAACTATAATGCAAAATGCATTTTGTCCAACTTCAAAAGTCCCCATAGTCTATCACAGTCTCAACATTGTTTAAAACTCCAGTCTTTTCTGAGACTCATGGCAATCTTTTTTTTTTTAATTTTTTTTTTGAGGCAGGGTTTCTTTGTGTACCCTTGGCTATATTGGAACTCACTCTATAGACAAGGCTAGCCTCTAACTCAGAGATCCTCCTGCCTCTGCTTCTCAAATGCTGGGGCTAAAGGTGTGCACCATCACTGCCCAGATCATGGCAATCTCTTAACTGTAGCCACCTATAAAATCAAAATCAAAAAGCAGACCACATACTCTCAACATACTATGACACAGAACATATATTACCACTCTAAAATGAGGGAGAGAAAACGTAGTAAGGAAATACTGGACCAAAACAAGACTGAAAACCAGCTGAACAAACTACAAACTCTGTGTTTCCATGTCTGATGTCAAAACACTCTTCAGATCTCCAACTCCTTTCAGCTTTGTTGACTTCAACACACTTCTCTTGGGCTGGTTCTGCTCCCTATTAGCAGCTCTGCTCGGTAATTATCCCATGGCTCTGGCATCTCCAACACCTTGGAGTCTCCAAGGCAATCCAGGCTTCACCTTCACAGCTTCACACAATGGCCTCTCTAGACCTCCAGGTTGGGACACGCCTGCCACACACCTGGCCTCAGTGGTTTTCTTTAGCCATAGAGGGATATTCCTCAAGCCCTTTCTTGTATCCTTGAATCTAAAGCCAGAACCACATAGCCCAAGTTGCCAAGTTCTCCTGCTTACTGGGGTTGGAACATGCTCCTTTTGTTGTAGATATACATACTAATTACAAATTACTAATAACAACACTTGGTCAATACGGGTCATACTAAGCTGTCTTGAAATCTCTTTTGTCAATGCTATCAACCCAAAACTCTTCAATTTATCATCAGGCATATTTTTAGGACAAAGGCAAAAAGTACCCACATTCTTTTCCAAAATTCCCCAAGAACACTAATTAAACTCAGTGAGTACCTGAGTAGAGTGCTTTAATTCCAGGACTAGAGAATAAACAGGCAGGTGGATCTCTGTGAGTTCAAGGCCGGCCTGATCTTCATAGTGTATTCCAGGACAGCCAGGGCTACATAATAGAGAGATCCTATCTCAAAATAATGTGAAAGGAGACACTTAGGAGGGTAGTTGAGTGGGAGATGAATGAGAGCAAAGTATAATGACATATATGTATGAAGATGCTATGGTGAAATCCGTTTGTTTGTATGCTAACCTAAAAATTAGTACAAAAGGGAAAGAAAGAATTATATCTAAAAGATGTAAGAGAAAAAAGCTTAGAAGGCACAACCAAAAATTATAAAAGTTAAAAGATCAGTGTTGAGCATCTCGGTGGGAGGATGTTTGCTTAACCTATGAGATCCCATCCCCAATACCACAAAATGAAAATAAACGTAAAAGGAAAGGTTAGGAGGCTGGAGAGGTGGTTCTGTGGTTACGAGTGTGTAGGGGCCGAATTTTTGTCAGGGCTGGTCCCTGACACGGGTGTGTATTGCTCTCGCAGAGAGCCTGTGTTCATTTCTCAACAGTCACTCAGACAATTCACAGCTGCCTGTAAAGGACTCCAAAGTAATCACACTGCTCTGATTTCCATGTTCATCTGCACTAATGCGCACACTGTACACACACACACACACACACACACACACACACACACACACACTTAGAAATAAAATATAGCCAGGCATGGAGGCGCACACCTTTAATCCACGCAATCAGGAGGTAGAGACAGGTGGATCTCTGTGAATTCAGGGCCACCCTGGTCTACTTAGTCAGTTCCAGATAACCAGGGCTACGAAGAAAAACCCATTTCAAAACTCTGTGTGTGTGTGTGCGCACACACGCGCCCGTTCGTATGTGTAATTTTTTTAAATGATAACTTAGATATCTCCAGATGAAATGTCTCAGTGATTTTTTTCAGCACTGTGCTTTTCCATTACCTCCAAATTTCCCTATAATGAGAATATATTATAAAGGTGATGGGGGAAATTAATTTTAATTGTTGCAAGTAACAAAAGGATTATCCATTTTCTATTGACAAATATGAAGCAAGTAGCGATTATACCAACATAAACCTCAGCTCATTATCTTAACAGATGTTCTCATAAAATCCTAATACTAGTGAGGCCCACACACTAGTGAGGGT